GCCCCATGTGTTATAAACAGAAGGCTCCCAACAGATGTGCTTTGAGTGGATGCGTGAAGTTCATAGATGTGGCGACTGTAGCTTAGTATGAGTGCCTGGCCCAAGGTCATACAAGTTTAGGTTGTGACCTGAACGTAGTTCTCACCAGGGGCTCTCCTGTCGTCTTGTTCTACCAGATTCTAACACTGGGCACAGTTTTGTCCCGTGAATGCGAGCTGGGGAGCAGGGTTAGTGTTAAGGTTGTGGGTAGGATTCTGAGAATCTTGCAGACACAAAGAAGCCATGGCTCCTGAAATTAATTTGTAGGGCAAGACTTTCCTTTTTACGCTTGTCAGTGGCCTGCCCTCCTCACAGGGCACAGGGCTCAGGCCAAGGCCCGCACTGGGGGTCCTCTATGCCCTGCAGACATCTCCTCATGGGCCCCTGTGACAGGGAGGTGGCATTAGCCACATCTCTGCCTTTTCCTTTCTCAACTGCTGAAAACATCTTTATGTTTCCTACCCCCTTCAAGCCTTATAGCAACCATGATGAAGTTAGGGCACAGGAACAGTAAGATACAGAGTTGTCCGGTGCTGGGGTGGGGTGACATTTTCGCTTTCTCATCTATAAAGCAAGATGACAAGATCAGATGGCTTAGGGAACGGGAAGAAAAATGTTTTGGGAAGCCATGCCCTCAATTCCCACCTAAATTCAGTGCCAGCCCAGGACTGCAGAGACAGGGCTGCTGCCCAGGCCAGCTGGGTCTCCCAGTAGATTTCTAAGGGCCAGCCATGAGGGTGGGGAGGGAGGGACACTGAAGGAAGCCTAGGGGACTGAGCCCTAGGTTAGGGCAAGATATGCCTCCAGCTGGGAGCCCAAGTGCAGCATGTACCCACAGCAGTGTCTGTGCAAGGATGGCACTCAGAGTCCACCTCACCCCATCCCCATTCAACCCTGCTCTACCTACCACCAGGCACCCAATCTCTCTGGGCCTCAGTTTCCTCATCTGTAAAATCAGCGAGATGTTACTGTCTTGCCTACACCTAGGCCATTGAAGAGACACGGCTGAGAAGCTTCTCTGCGAAGCAGTTGTCTAGAGCCCCCTGTCCTTTGCAGATACTGCCCTCTGCTCCCCCCTCCCCAAGCTGCCTTCAGGGTGAAAAGGCTTGGACAGCGCAGGCCACCAAAGTTGCAGGCTGAGCTTACCAGTTCTCCAGGCCTGACCCATGGCCAGGGGTGGGTGGGGCCCAGTCTGCCAGCCAGCTGCTCTCTGACCTCTTTGCACCACGGGGTCTCCAGCCCAGTGCCACACACACACACACACACACACACACACTCACACACACACCTCTTTGCTGACTCCAGCCTGTCTCAGGCCCCTGCTGAGCTCCCTCAGTACAATAGGGCTCTTGTGTTCCCTGCCCCCACCGGGTCCCAGACCTGCTCCCTGGCCTGTTTTCCCAGCCTCTGGCAGGTTCCCCCAACCCACCAGCAGAGCTCAGCAGCAGCCAGAGTCCCTAACTATTCCCTCCTTAACCTCCTCCTCTCCCTGCAACCTCTCTACCCTCTCTCCTCCCCCACCCCTAACCAAACAGCCCCAGGCTCTCCTCACCTCTGATCCTGGACGCCAGGCTGGATGCGTAGCTCTCCAGTAAAACAAAAATGTGATGTTAATTCACGAGAAGGCACTGGTGAGTTGTTACATATTTTAAGAGAAGGCAGAAGGTAAGAAGCTTCTTGAGTACATTGTTAGGTACCAAGGTACCTGTATAAGGGATGTGTTGTAGGGACCCTCCTGGGGCTCCCCATAAAAGAGCTCTTGTATGACATCAGTCCTAGGATGGCCCAGAGCTTACATTTCTATTCCTAACACAGAAAATCAAAGTCATGTCTGTCTTCTAGCCGGGTGAGTTTAGACAAGGCCTGATAGCCACCCTCTCCAATTGTCCCTCCCTTACTACAGTGGCTGATAGGAAGGTCAGCAGGACTTGTGACTGACCTTCAGTGCTCAAGCCGCTTGGGAGACAGACAGCAGTGTGGAGTGGGGGCCGGACTGAGAACGTGCATTGCTAACAGGTTCCCAAGTGGTGCTGATGCTGCTGGCCTGGGGGCCGGCCTGGCCTAGCAGATGCTCCTTCCAGACTAAGCCAGAAGCAGTTGTGGATCCAGGGTGAGAGGAGGCTGCTGACTGCATTAGACAGAGGTTGGTAATGAATCCCGAGCCAGAGGGCTAAGGCTCCCGAAAGGTCTGCATCACTTGCCCAAACAAAAGGGTCTCCTGACAGCCTGGCAAGTAGAGAGCCTCTGAACCTCCACCAGCAAACTTGGGAGTTCCAGGACCAGCAACCCCACTGAATGGATCTTGTGATTTTTCTAAACCACATTTTTTTATTCCCTTCTGATGTGCCAGGCACATTACATACCTTATTTCTACTCTTTACTACAACCATGCAAGGAGCAGAGGTGGGATTTGAACCAGACCTCATTTTAAAGCCCAGGCTTTTAACCAAGAGGTGATTCTGCCTTAAGAAGATAAGACAGAACAGCTAATTTTAGGAAGAGGGGCTCCCCATATCCCAACTAGTAGTTTGTGTACCACGTCTCTCCCCACTTACCCCAGGCAGATTTTAATTACAGACAAAAAGAGCTTGGGCAATTAGAATGATGATTAAGGGGGGAAAATGCTCAGAAAGCAAAAAAATCACCACCAAACTTTGCCTTCCTGGAAGCAAGGAGCTGGTTGCTTTGTGTGCTGGGATTCTAAGATAACTATGTTTACTATGTTTAAAGAGAGCTATTTTCTAAAGAAACGCAAGTAAGTACTCCTTGACTGCTGAAATTCTCAGCTGGAGGAAAACCTGTCTCTACAGAACTAGTAGGAAAGAGGGAGACAGCCCTTCTAAAGAAGAGAGCAGGCGTGTCCAGGTCGGGGTGCACATGGCTCTGAATAGTGAGTGCTGCCCATCTCACAACGGAGAATTCGGAGCCCAGAGCCTGCACCCCTGGCTGTGAGCTGATGGCTGGGCCTTCCCTGTCCTGTTCACTGCTGTGTTCCCACCACAAGCATAGCTGTTGGCACATGAGAGGTACAAAAGGTGTTGCACGAATCAACACACTCTCCTTAAGCCTGTGACGTCCACTGGGACTCGGCCGGCCAGCTGCCAGGATTCCCCTATCTACACCCTAGACGGTAAGGGCTCTGTTTGAAGCTAGGGAACTAGAGTAAAATCAAGAGGCTCGGAAATTCGCTTCTTAAAACTTATTTTAATATCCTCCCCACCCCCCCAAATTGGGAAAGGCCAAAACAGTCTGGCTGGATTAAATTACAAATTAATACACATTTTTAAAATCATTGTTTAAAGTAAATCAACATTGTGGCAATCGGGGAGTATTCTTGGAAAAAGTGAAACCCATATTAACAAAATATGTTGTGGAAGAACCCCACTAGTCATTTCACTGGCTAGTTAAAAGTCACCACTCTGCATCTCCAGGGCTGGTCCATGCAGTGGAAAGAGGCCTTGCCCAGACTCAGTGGAGCCCAGTCAGCTCCAACCAGGCCCTAGACGCAAACAAAGCCTGGAGGGAGGGCATTCCTTCTTCAGGACAAGGGTAGAAGAGGTCAATCAATAAAGTCCTGCAGCTTCCCTTAGGCCATGGGATAAAAGGAGGCAGGAAGGTAGAGGGAAGGCTTAAAGATGCAGCATTTCTTTCACTGTTAAGAAATTCCAAAATAATGATACAAGATTACTTATTGAATGGTAGGGAGAAAAAATAAGGAACAGAACTTAATAGTTTGAGTAAGTTTAAACACGGTCTCAACTTCATCCATCTCTCTTCATGTGCAGACACCATCCTTTCGGCATTATGCTCAACCTCTGAGACCCCATAGGTACTCTGTGCTTAGCAGCTTGGTTAAAAAAAAAAAAGCTACTGCCAGCCTAGTGGCTCAGTTGGTTAAGAGCTCACTCGAATGTGAGCTCTGAGCAACAGGGTCGCTGGTTCGATTCCCGGCCCGAGCTGAGCAGCCGCTGAGCTGCCAACAGGTGGCAGGATGGCTCAGCTAAAAAAAATTTTTAAAATGCTGCCACACACACACACACACACACACACACACACACACACACCATGTGTGCACATATATATTGCAATAAAACAGCTTTACAAAGCTCGGGGGCACCAAGGGTCTGGGGCTGACCTCCTTCCATTCCGAGTTCCAGAAGACAATACTGACCGACCCAAACACTTCTCTTAAATTTCCCCCTAAGATCGCCTGATAAAGGGAAGAGGGGAAGGTTCACAAAACAAAGGTCCTAGAAAATGTATCACCAGTGGCATTCTGTCACATAGAAAAGAAACGCTGGAGTCGTGAGTTGGTTGAGAGCTCTCTACCCTTCCTGACTTCCCTTCCCCTGCCCAGAGAGCTCGCAGGCCCGAATGCTGCATCTTTAAATATTTCTGGCTGGGCCCTCTTGCCACATATGTCAGTAACATTCCAAGCTGGCTACCACATGTTCAGGCTCTGGCCTCCTCTCTCTATTGCCGAGTGCTCTGCTGTTTCAAGGCCATGGTGGGGCCGCGCAGGTCCCATTTCAGCTCCATCTTCAGTTGATCGTACATCTTAGAAACAGCCAAATTTGTAAAAAAAAAAATTAGTCCCCAAAATGTTCATATTTGAAATACTTATTTCCCTTGAGATTATTTTTTAACTCCACTTAGTGACTCTATTAAAGTGAGTTAGACAAAGTGCGTGTGCACATGCACACACAGACGCACACACCAGCACACACCCACAAAATTTAGAGGACTGGAAGTTGTTTCCTGCCAAAAGATCTAACAGAGGAAAGCTTATGTGCTGATCAAGTTTTAATATCGTGGTTAACAAGAAATGTACACCGTTCAGCAAGCACACGGAGACTGTGGGCAGGAACCCCTGACCCTGGAGCTCTTGGCGTCCCAGCCCGTTGTCTGCCTACCTTTGGAACAGTTTCGATAGTTACTACATTCAGAGAATCCAAGAGGACTGCATGGACAGATGAACCTTTATTTAAAAAAATAGCACTTCAAATAAATTAAAAGGGACAACCGTCAAGTGTTCAAATTGTGAATAGTTGAAAACCTAGAGAGACCCAAGCTGCAGTCTTCTAAGCTCATTCTTTGTCCAATGGCAAAACCCCACACCCCTCAGGACTCCCACTCCAAGTTTTCCCTCGTGGGACAGGGAAGCAATGGCACACGGGAGACCAGACGGAGGAGAAAGCTGCGTCTGACTGGAATGAACACCGCCACGTACTTGCTAATACGGGTTTCACCTCATGACCAAATGTATTCTTTCAAAAATAAAAAAGGAGGGGGGGAGTCGCATGTTTTTAAAAATTGAAATTATTTAGGGATAAAACACTAACTCTAGTGCCTTTAACGGGCAATAGCAACTTTTTTCTCCGAAGTCAAATACCATCCCCAGCTGAGCCTCTGTGCTACAAGCTTTCCAGGAGATGTTACCTAAACTTTATTAAAAGAAAAGAACAAGTTTAAATATAGACGCTGGACTAGCCCAGTCTGTATTTTCAAGTCCACATTCTTCATCTGAAACACTGCATCAGGGACCCCCCCTGAGTCTGCATGTTTTCAAGTTCACAGTACATGGAACCAGTTTTTCTTTTGAATTTTTTCCTCACTCAGAGCAGCCACACGCAGTGGCCGTTGACGCCGGAACCTCGGGCGGGGCCTTTTCCTATGAGGCCTGGCCAGAGCTGCCCGAGGCTTCTCCTCAATGAGAATCGATGCTGTCATGCTCTATGGATGGGAAAAAAGCAAGAAAATAAAAGCACCTGGTACAGGTTTCATGAGATCCATTCGGATTCGCTGTATTCCAAACCCGCTGCTGAAAGCCATTTGTCCACTTTGTGTGCATTGAACAGTTTGTGGCCTAGGAGTGGGGCTCAATTCGAAGAACTGTTATTGGACGCCCCAGAGGTTGATGCAATAGCAGCTCCAGCAGGGCTACTTGTGGAGACCGACTTTCGGATGTGAGGCAGCAAGTAGGGGTCACAGGCCAGCTGCTGGACATCGATGCGGTCCTCCTTTCGGTAGGCCAAGCATCGTCGAATAAACGCCTGAAAGGAAAGTTTCTTGAAGAAGCCTGAAGCAGACAATCCTGGCACCTCAAGAGGGAACCCTGGGGTTCTAGAGCAGCTGCCAGGGCCCTTCCCCAAAACCACCAGGCAGACCTGAGAGCAGGAAAGGAGACGCACTGGCAGCAGGACCTCTCTGTGGCCACTGCCTCCTTCCCAGATGGGGGGTGACTGAGCCACTCCAGAGGGGGAATGGGGCATGGCCTCTCAATATCTCTCCCCCCAAAGCACAAAGACCAACACAAAGAACTTTCTTTGCCTTGGCTGGTTTGCACAGACACCGTCTAACTTTGTGGTGCTTCATGGTCCAAACCATGGCCTCACAGGAGCTTCCCGAGGAAGAGGGAATTGTAATGACAAACTACCGCCCCAGGCAGGGTGAGGAGTCCGACTCTGACTAACACGCCAGCATGTCACAAATTGGTGAACACTTTCCCTGTGTATCTCCCTCTTCCCTGAAAGATCATTACGCAAATGAGCAGGCACATACCTAAGTAGTAAAGGAAAACCTGAACAGGACTTGTCTTCCCAAGAGTACTGCAGACATGAAGACCTACTGAGAGGGGGGTTTGATTCGGAATTCTAATTCCAGTGGTATGAAGGGCTATGTAGTTGCAGTTTCTACAACTCTTATCATAAAGACCCTTAAATAAATGGTCTATCATAAAGACCCTTAAAAAAATGGTCTTTTTCGCCAGTTCTATTTAACCAAAGCCTTGTAATATAATTACTTTAAATACATGAATCCATTTAACCATTTAAAACACCACACTTGACACAAGGGTGATAATGACGCCTCCATGGAGGCTCACTGATTGTAACAAAGGTACCACGTTTGGCATTGACAGTGAGGAAGGCTGAGTGTGCATGGGGGCTGGGATACATGGAAACTATACTTTCCACTCCATTTGGCTGTGAATCTAAAACTACTCTAAAAAATAGTCTATTTAAAAACAATCTAAAACATGAAATGCTTTTCTCTTTTTTTCTGTGTTTAATTAACAAAACACAAAAGTATAAAACCAATTCTGGCTTTTCAAAATGAAAGATACCTAGAGGGAGTTGCTTGATTAAAGCATTTGGAAGATAAACACAAATTCACAGACGTGAACACAACAATCTTTGGCCTTTAAAAACAAGCCTTTCTTAATGAGATACCCAGAGCTAGAGTTCAACAGGTTTCCTTAGGTTGGATATCAGTCAAATCAACTCATTTCACCTTAAATTTTCTCTCCACACAGCTGCTAGTCCAGGCTTTTGAACCGGCAATCAGACCACACATGTGCCCTGGTTGAAACCTTCAGGTGCTTCCTAGCCAGTTTACAGTCTATCTGACCCGTCTCCCCTCGGCTCTGCCAGCTCTGCGGACCTGCTAAGCTCACACTCACACCTGAGCTTTACTCACGTCTCTCTGCTCAGAATCTTCTTCTCCCAGTCGATGCAGGGCCTCCACCTGCACACCGTTCAAGAGTGCTCCAAACCTGACTTCCTCACTGGGGCTTTCCCTGACCATGCTACCAGAAAAGGGGTTCCGACCTCTCCACCCCCTTCCTCTGTTATTTTCTTCATCACATTTATCACCATTTGAACTGTACCCATTTTTAGTTACTGTTTGTCTCACCCAGTGGAATGTAAAGTCCGCAAAGGAAGGGACCTTGTGTGTATGTTTGTAGTTACATACTCAGGTCCTTCTCCACTCTCTACAACAGTGTCTACTGCTTAATAACAATAAATATGTGCTGTGTGACAAGAGGGAGAGAACAGGGTAGGGGTTGGAAAAATACACATTTAGAAGGAGGAGGAGGTTTTTCATGACTCCTGATTTTTGTACTGAATAAACCACCCTCTATTACCCGGAGAAGTAACACAAAAATCAAAGCAGTCGTGTCTGCTGGCCAGTGGGTCAGAACTTACCTTGGCTTCAGGTGTTACTACTGGCTTTGGCGGAAACTGCACTTCAGTAGCTTTCAGAATAGTATTTTCTTGTAGAATGTCTTGCTGGGACTGGTTATGACCAAAAGGCTATCATACAAAAACAAACAAACAAACAAAGGTGGGTTTCTGGTTAACACTATAAAAAGCACAACTCAAAACCACAGGAGGAAAAGGAGAAGACGTGTCTCCATGCGATCCGCTAGAAGGACCTTCGAAGATGATCTCCTCTGATTCTCTCATTTTGTAGATAAAGAGTGGAAAGGCTCAGAGCTGAAGCAACTTGAAGCAACAGTCCAACATGTCAGTTAAGGCTGAGCTGAGACCGGAAGCAGCATCTGCTACATTATACCCCAGCTAGCTTTGCTTACAGCAAAGAAAAGAAAGTTCCGAGCAGGAACCTCTTCTGTCCTGAGTGATACCCGAAGGCTTAAGCAATACATACATGTGCCACTGGCAGACCCGAAACACACATAAGGGGAGATGGGAAAGGAAGAGTACAGGGGTAAGGACGGAGCGGCAGAAAACCAGAGCGGGGCTGCTTGGTAGCTTCATCTGTGCCCCAAATGGCCATTTTCTAATCAACTCTTAAAAAATAAGTTCAGGCCTACTGTCATCCCTCTACTATTTCTACTGAGAGATCACAAACAAACAGTGTTTCTACTGAGAGATCTATTTTTCTAGATAACCTCTGCCACCACTATCAGCAGCACTGCCGCATTATCAGAGAGCATAAACAATAATTAACTCCACTAGTTCTGAATGGTTTCCCCATATGAGAGAGAGAGACTAAAGAAACAAAGGAAACAAGAAGTGAAGAGGAAGCTGAAATCTGAATTAAGAGCTTGGTAGGGGGATTGTGATCAAGATATTAAGAGTCCAGGGGAGTTGCAGAACTCCCAAATGGCTTATACTCACAGCCTAATGGGGAACATGGAACATACAAACACAATGACAGAAGTATGAATATAAATACACAGCTGGACCCTAATATATACATTTATAAGGTATTATGCTCACAAGGAAAAAAGTGTGAAAATTCATTAGGTATAGTTTACTACCCACGTTATTACTTATTCTAATTAATGATGGATCACCTTAATCAGAGGTAATAGACAGTGAATACCTCCCAGTATAGAAAAATAAAGCATGCTTTTATTAATAATAGTTTTAACTAATGGGGTGGTTGGGAATAAAGAGCCCTACAGATATTTCAAGTTTCAAGTTTGGGGACCCTTAAGAACAGCTCTTGGGAAGATTGTATACTTTAATACACTATTTCATGTAATTCCCTAATCCATGTTATTAGAATCAAAACATATCCTGGGTCTAACTGAGAACAGCAAAAAAATGCATGTTTTCCACAACCCAGTGGAATTCATTAGGTATTCTAGGGTTGAAAATGTCTCCTTATGTACAAAGCTTTTTATTAAATCTATATTTCTTCACACCACAACTTTCAAGATTCCATTGTGTATAACCCAATGATTAGCCCCCAGAGAACAGTCCACCCCATGCCACTGTGGAAATGCGCCATCCATGGTGGCATCCAACCTTCTCCCTTACCTTCCTTCCATAAAGACACTGGTAGAAGATCACACCCACTGACCAGACATCAACTTTATTTGAGATCTTTGGTGGTTCTTTTCCAACCACGAAACACTCTGGTGGTAAATACCTGGGACAAAAGGGAAATAGAAATCCTTAAGAAAATGACTGTATAACCCTAAGACATTAACAAAAAGGCGAAGACGACAACCTTGTTGAAAATAAAAATATACGAATTTTAACAGGTGCAAAAGCAATTTAGACCTAGCTGGAGAAAGCCAATGAAGAGACTCTCGCTTAAGGAGGCAGCAATGTCCTATGAAGCCTTAAAATACATTTCTGAGTTCACCGAGGGAGGTGAATATTCTCCCCAGTTCCTATTTCACCCACCCCAGGCTCCTTTCCCAGGGTTGTGCCTAATGTGTCATTCAACAAGTTAAAAAAATTAAAAGGGGGGGGAGGGGGGATGCCAAAAATGATGTGCATTCCCTTTCATGACAGACGCATCAACAAATATTAAACTATAACCAGAGGTAATGTGGGTTTCCTTTCATGGTGGCTGAAGAAGAAGATATGTGGAGAACAGTAAGTATTTTAAAAGTCCCAATGATTTCAGGTCCCAGCAGAAAACTGAGGGGAGCAGTTGTTCTGTTTTCTTTCTTTCTTTCTTTCTTTTTTTTTTTAAGCTGAGCCATCCTGCCGCCTGTTGGCAACTCAGTGGCAGCACAGCTTGGGCAGTGAATCGAACCGACAACCCTGTTGCTCAGAGCTTGCTCTTGAGCGAGTTCTTAACCAGCTGAGCCACTTGGCCAGCCCCCCAGTTTTCTTAATGTAGCCTCTTTTGGAAATGTGGGCTGGAAATAATTATACTATATAATCAATAGTGACATTAAAGTCCATATTACCAAAGGGTATTTTACATTTCTTACTTTAAGGGCGATCAGGGGGTTATTAGAAGACTAACAAATAGTGCAGAGAAAGCTTAACAAACTAGCACAACTCAGTGATCATCTGAAGTCCTTCTTTCCCCAACCACCCCGCCTCTAGAAAGACCAGCTGGACAGCCAACCACACCAAACTGTACAGTGTGGAAGGTAAGTGCCTCTCGGCATTTAGGAAACCAAACAAATACGCTTCTATTCACTGCGTGGAGTCACAGCCATGGCACAGCTGGAAGGCAGAATTCTGAAGATAACAGATCGATTTCTGCAGATTTCATGCTGGCAAAACCAATTCTGTGAAAAATTCTTTATTTTAGACCCTGCTGTGCTTCTGGTATAAAAATCTAAACTTGGAGCTTGAAGGGGACAAGAGTTGAGAGGCAGAAAATGTTCAGATGATGGGCTTTCTTCTTTTTGTTGAGGAAATTTAGTTTCATGTTCTCATTTCTTTTTAATTTTAACAGATATTTTGGACGATTAAGACCACTGAGCTAGATTATTTCACAATGAATACTTTTAGCCAAAGCATACATTGAAAAATGAATATATAGATACAGAACTCCCATAGAGGGGGAAAACGGTAAAGAAATAAAAATATAGGAAAAAGACTCTATTAAGAAACCAGCTCTTCCAAATGCCATTAAACCCTCCCTGAATCCTAGTTTTCATGGTTCTTCATTCTTTAATATAGATAACTTAAATATATGACCTTGGATATATAACAAATAGAATCTTGATTCTAAAATGATCATTCTAATGCATTTATAAATTTTTTTGTGGAGGTGGTGGGGAACAACAAGTTGTTTGTGGTAGGGAAGAAGCTGTTAAACTTGTCCAATGCAGAGTAATAATTTAGCCAAATATTTAGAATACAAAAGACACTGACACATAACAATAGAAATCTGGCAAATCACTTTCTAGGTCTCAGTTTGCCCCAGCTGTAAATGAAGAAATAAACTATTGGGTTGTCGGAAAAGTCATGACATATTTTTTCTATGTTTTTCATTGCAAATATGCGTCATGACTTTTCTGACAACCCAATAGTTCTTCACCCAAATAACACTGAATATAATAAGCATTCTAATTCCCTATCAAGGCCTTTGCAAGGAAGACTAGAAGACAGGTCTATGACACTACACTAAACTGTGTTTAAAAAACAAACTTAGCTGCATATTCCATCACAATAAAATCCTCACAGAGAAAAATTATCCCCAAGGCCTAGCCTACAGGTCACTTGCTTAAAAGCAGTATTCAATGTAGAATAATTCTCAACAACCAAATACTGCAAACAGTCACTGAGAATTTGTTATTGCCCTCTGTCCTATTTGTATCTCTCTGGGGCATCAGAAGTGGATGACATGTTAATGATGGTGATTATGACGATGTTTCTACCAATATGGAGACTTTCTAAACCATCATAGAAATCCATAAAATTTAATTTTCTCAGTACCCCTCGCTACCTTACTTTTTCTATGAAAAAAAAAATCTTCAAATATAATCGAAAGTAGAAAGAATAGTAACATGAAGTCCCAAGTAATCATCTAGCCTTGATATCTACTAACACTTGGCAAATCTTTATTCATATACACCCCTCTCCTCCCCCCCCAGATTACATTGAAGCAAATCCCAAAAGCCATATAATTTTTATTTAAATTCCAACCATTGAATTTTTACAGCTTAGCAAATAAAGCAATAGGTAGCAATGAGAAAACTAGTTACACGTGAATAAGCTTCACCTCTTAACAAGATCAAGCTATCAAACAAAAAACTCAAATCCAAGTTCCAGCGAATTTACATAGCAGAGGTATGGACCTGTTTCCAGAATTTCCAACAGCAGACATTTCTGTATCATTTAGTGACAGGAACACTAACCCACAATAACCACCATAGTGAATAAACACTGTAAATATAACATCTATCTTAAGCCTAGAACATCTCAAAGTTTTAATTTAGTGACGGATTTTCACTATAGGTACCATCTCCACAAACAATAAGGAGCAATGGAAAGTAGAAATTTTGTGTTTTTAACAGGATTTGATCGATTCTTTAATATATATAACTTAAATATGATCAGACTGATGTTGTGTGTTGTGAAAGACACCCCCCTTTCTGTCTGCTTTGGATCAACACCCTCTTTCCCAAACAGTCAACTATTCCAGTCTCAAACGTAAGTGAGCTGATCAACTGGCCCCAGGGTATAACACCTCCCTTAGTGCTACCGGAAGCTTGCTTCTGTTCAGAATCACACATTCCATATGTGGCTTTGTGTTATCACCTCAGATGTGAAAGGGAAGCTCTGTTAACACACATATTTACAATCACAAAGTTAAATGCCTGAGCTGCAGGTATCTTTTATGGTTCTCACTGTCAAAAGTAATACTCGGCAGAAGTAGAACAGGTCACAGAACAGGCAGGCAGAGCTAGCTGGGGAGAGACGAGTGACAATAGACGGGAAGAAACGTGGCTCAAAACCGCTGAGAACATGCTGAGACAGATGGATACACTTCTTGGCAAACTGGGCAAACTTTTTCCTGTTTAGATTTCAAGGGATACTTTTTATATCCTGATAATTTTATATCCTGATCTTCAGAACTCCTTAGTTCTTTGAGAGTCCATCATCCTCAGGCAACTCTAGAAACAAATCCCTCATCCCATTAACCCATGAAGAGACCTGCATTTGTACTGAAAAAAATTTAGGGCCCTTCTTGTACACACGAGCAACCTCATTCTCCACCTACTCGGCAGGGCCATCCCTACGGAGGAAACACTCAGCTCAAACACCTGGCCACACATAATCTCTCTCTCAATGGTTTTCAAGAAAGGAAAGGAAAATGAAGACAGATATAAAGAGTTACTGCTAAAAGACAGTAACTATTTGGGGAGGTAAGTCTGTTTGGGTTTGCAGCATTGCTGCCTAAGCAGACAGAATGTAGACATTAATTATTCATTACCAACACCTCAGTGTAGCACAGCACATCTCCACCAGCCAACCTGGCAGATCTCCCAGATACCTACCAATAAGTACCAGCACCTTGTGACGTGAGCTCCATGCCATCCACTGAATTGTAGCTATCATCGTCCATGATCTTGGAAAGACCAAAATCTGTGATTTTTATCTCTCCACACGCTGTACCATTTACTAAAAGAATATTACCTAGAAAGATAAAAATCTTCATGAATAAAGAGACACTAATTTAAGAGAAAAAGCCAAAGTAATAATAGACAAGAAGGGGACAACTGAACCCTTGCACGCAGTAACAAACGTCGAAATCCCTGGACTAAAGCTGTCTGGACTCCGAATGCGGGGGAGAGTCCTCAGTGTCTGGCTGCAACCTTCTAATTTCCAAGAATCACCTGCGTAATGTGCCAAAACCACCACTATGAGCAGTGGAAAAAAATTATAACTCGCCAAAGTAAAATATCACTTGTACAGTTGGTCGAAGATGGTGGGAAAGTTTCATCTGACCTTTCAGTAAGGATCTCTAAACCATCGTGTTTAGGACATTAGTTTTCAGGGAAAAAAATCAAAAGAAAACATACAAGGGAATCAAAGCTAGCACCACAGTGCCACCTACAGCTCCGGCGGCAGGAACATGTATTGGATTCAGTGATGGAAAACCCAATCGCACAATGGCCACCTCTTTAAAAATCACTTCACTGTCATGAAATTTTTAGTCATGTGAGTTGTATTAAAACATCAAAGAAAAATGAAGAGTGAAATTTAATATGTAGCTACCAGAGGAGGAAAGCGGCTTAACAACTGTGCCTCACCGGGGGGTAAGCGGGAATCACCTTGCTAGCACCACAGGGAGGCTGGTTAGAGCTGCCTACAGAGAAGAGGTGCACAAAACAGCTGAGGATGACAACAACAAAAAATAGAGGGAAGAAGCCTAACTGCCCTCTAGTTTTTGCTGATGACTATCCAAGTTAGACAGTAACCATACAAAAAGATGAAAAACTCTGCTCGGAATTTAATGAAATATGAGATATACGTGCAAAACACATCGTTAATTTTGGGGCACTTAGCAAAGAGACCTGGAATAGAGGAACTGCTGTGGAGTGTGAGTAATGGGAAAAAAACAAAGCCGAGCTTGCCAAAACAGTTCTTTCTTAATCGGACTGACATCATGAATTGTCCTGGCTCTCAAGACAAAGATACTGTTTCTCAGAGCATTTACTGTGATCCACCCTCCTAAACCCAGCGCTGCGGGGCCAGGACTCTTATTCCCACACCCACTCAAGCAATCTGAAGTCAGACAGTGGTAGGCCTTCTTGTCTCCTGCCAAATGCTCTAACTTGATAAAATTACAAGTCACTTATAAGACCACGGAAAAGCCACCAATACTGTCTCCTAAAAGTTAGACATACCTGGTTTGAGGTCATAGTGTATGATGGGAGGTTTTATTTCATTTAAGTACTTTAAAGCATTCACAATCTGCATGATAATGGATCGGGCCTCTTTCTCCGACATTAATTTGTGCTGTTTCAGGTAGAAGTCCAGATCATTTCCCTCACAGTATTCTAATACTGTACAAAACCTAAAGACAAATAAACCAACATTTGACTGCGGGATGAGAGCAAGCAGATTAAGACTAACTAAACCAGCCCCAGTGAAAACTTCAGGTAATTGGCTTCTCGCTCCCTTCTCTTTGGTTCCTTAAAATACTCTTCTATTCCTTATTCGGGATTAGCTACCTGAGTGGTTTACAGGAACAAAACTGCTTCCTCACTTGGTGGAGAGTCTCCACGCCCCCCACATGGGAATCTGTTGCGCTAAAGTTCACACATGGCATACCTCTTCTTGAAACCAAGAACACTGACAAGAACTGCAATGTGCTTAAGATAGGTATCTTTTTGGAAGGGTCTCCTTTACACAGCCACATCCTGCTCCATTTCTAAACAAGTACACGGTTCTCAGCAAACCTTTTCTATGACCCTGAGTGCTGAAAGTGAGGAAGCTTGGGTCTGCCCAGGTCTCCTGGCAGTTTGGCACAATATCGTACGACAATTTCTCTTTGCTAAACACAGATATAAAAGAGCTTTTATAGTATCTGTGGTTCTAACAAGTGTGTTATTACACAGTGTGGGTCTCCTTCCTTCATTTATATCAATACGTTGAACAGACCCCAATTTAACACTACACACCATTTGTGGCATTAAGGGTCATGTGTATCTTCCAAGGCAGTTATAAACTAAAGTTAGGCTTCCTGAACTGTTTTGAGTATTCCTGAGATGAATACCTTTTAAACTATTCTAAGTTGTGACAATATGGGTGTTATCACCTAGGGTCTAGCCAGGAAATAAAAAACACTTGAGTATTTAAAACAAAGAGGCTTTAATTCAGGAAACTGAACACATAGATGATGAAAGACGTGAGAAGACAAACTGGCCAGTGAGGCACCCCCGAGATCATCTAGAGCAGGAAGCCATTAGCACCCTAAGGCCAGAGGGCCAGAGGGAGGCGATGGTGCAACCAGAACCCAGGGTCACCAAGGGAAATTGGAACCATGGGTGTGGGGGGTGTCCTTCACCCGCCACCATCTCTGTCTCTCCATTGGCTGAACCCAGCTGAACAACAACTGACACAGGCGCCTGGTAAACACAGTCTGGGGGGCCAACTCCTCTAAGNTAAGGGGGGAGGGAGGTGGGGCAGGAGCAGAGCCAAGAGCAAACAAGCTCAGGACTACCACTATGGGCCTCCCACAATTTGAGGCCTACAAAATACACTGCAAAAAATTGTGGCCACTCGGTCCTGTGGGACCCAAAACTCAGCAACAGCGTTATGCTTCCTATGAGACCTACTAGGGCATGCTAGCCCCCTATTTGAGAATACCTGTCTGAAATGTCTAGATTCTCTGGTCTGAGACGCTGAAATCTGACATACGGACTCTCATGCTTAGTGGATTTATTCTTTGACCCAAGTGCAAACTGAAAATAAAATCTTACTTTTAAAACCCTAACAACTCACAGAAGACTTTCTAAAATGATGGTCTGACTTACTGTTGATGAAAGTACATCATACAATGGGAAGAACAAAGTAAATAACTCAAGAACAGTACACAATCAGTTCAATTTCTACAATTCAAAACAGCTGATAATCTAAATCATTATATTTATCTTTGAAATAGTTTTGGCACTTACATTTTGGGGGCTGGGGGTGAGGGTCCTACCTAGTGCTCAAGGAATTTCATCAAAGCAAAACAGTGAAGCCACCCTGTGGAGACCTGCTTTCTAACTACTTTTCTGAACTCCACTCCATGCTGAACATACATGGTCATGCCTGGTGCAAGGTCCACCCTAGCAGATGGAAGAGGAGATAGTTCACGTTTCCAAAGGGAATTATGGTCTCCTTGGGGGTCATTTCTAAATATGGGCAATTCTCTGTGTAGCAATCTCTGAGGCAGCTGTGCCTGAAACAGGCCAAAACCCCTAGAATCATGGTGGAAGGCTAAAAGGAACGCTTAAAAGGCCAGACCCAGAGTATGTTCTCCTGAATTAATTCAGATTCCTACAGAGAAAACGTTTCCAGTGCTGAACTATTTCTCAACTCCTGGATAAACCCAGCGGTGCTAGAGCTTACCTATACCTGGTAAGGAAATACAACAATACCTAAGATTATTAAAGATCTTAGACAAGTTAGTTAACTTCTCTGGTCCTGAAATCCCTACCTGTAAAATGAGAAGGTTGGACTGAGATCCCTTCCAATTCTAACATCCTATAAGCCTATGACCTATATTTTAACATGCAGCGCTCAGCAGTGCTTTCGTCTATGTCACATTCAGTCTTCTTCTATGATACATCACTGTGCTGGTACTTCTTTAAAAGGCCTGTCAGTGTTCATCAGTCTCCAGGGTGGGACAGAGGCTCTCTTGAAAAGTCCGTACTCACTGGTGCATGTCAGTGGTATGCTGGCACCAATCTGTGCCAGTTTCTGAAAGCTGGTAATTCAATTTTCAGGAATTTTGTGAGCTGGTCATGAAGCCACTGGTAGAATGAATGGATAAACAAAAGGTGGTACTTCCATACAATGGAATATATTTGGTCATAAAAAGGAATGAAGTACTGATATATGCTAAGACAAGGATGAACCTTGGAAAAAAACATGCTAAGTGAAGGAAACCAGTCACAGAAGTCTACATACTACATGATCCATTCATTATGAAAGTCCATAATAGGAAATCTATAGACACAAAAAGTAGATTAGTGGTTGCTTAGGGCTGGGGGTAAGGTGTGCAGGAATAGGGTCATGATAGCAAAAGGTACAGGGTTTCTTTCTGAGGAGATCAAAATGTTCTAAAATTGGCTATGGTGATGGTTGCACACATGTAAATATAGTAAAAACCACTGAATTGTATACTTTAAAAGGGTTAACTGTATGGTATGTAAATTATATCTCAATAAAGCTTTTTTTTTTTTTAATTGGTAGCTTGAAATTGGACGTGTTGAGAGTATTTACGCCACAGAAACTGGCAAATACTACAAATTAGCCCCCTCTCTCTCCCCACTAAGCTGGGTGTTAAACATTTGCCAGCACACATCCTGGGTCCAAGAGATGTCTTGCTGGCCCAAATCTGAATTCACACATGATCATTTGCCCATAAATAAATATATACGGTCCCTCAGAGAATATTTCCTGGACTCAGATTTCAAAGTTCTCTTTGCTAAACTGCACTAGTTAAATCATTATGTAAAAGGTAAAAGGGGTAAACTTTGCTGTTTTTCACTCTAGTCCATGAGTAGTCAACACACTGCAAGAAAATAGTAGTAACTGCTAAGCTAAAATGGCACAGCACTTACGAGTCAGTGTCCAGTGAAAAGTAATCATACAGCTTAACTATTCTGGGATGATCCAGTTCTTTGTGAATCCGGTATTCCCTACATGCATGCCTGTAAACAAAACGGACAATTAACATTTCGTATTTTGGCCTGTCTTTTGGAACTCATCAAGGATACTCCTACATATTCTCCCATTTCTCTGTTGTTTCCACTTATCCATTCTATTCAGACCACGTGGTCTCATTATCTTTCTTCATCCTATTTTCTTTACTAGTATCTACCCAGCTGTTGAGAAAGTATTAAGTGCTCAAATATTTGTTGAATGAATAGATTTTTATCCCTTTCAAGTTCATTCTATGACAATCTCACCTCTTTTATATTTATACCTAAATATCAGAGCTGTAAAAATTATAAAGACAGTGCTTTTTCTCTCTTCTAAAGTTAATACTTCAAATCTATAAATGTTTATATCCTAGGGTTACATCAAGGGGATCGATTAGCATATAAACTCCTTGGATAAAGGATTACTGGTTATATAAGGCAATTAGCAGTGCTTTGCATTTGTTTTTAAAGTCTACTCCTTACAAAAAGGATTTAAAGGGCTATTAGCTTCACTTTCGTCCAAGAAAATGTGAAATTGATAGAAAATTTGAAATTATGGAAATCCTAGTTTTCTTAGAACAAGAATTTAAATATATGCATTAACATTTTTTGTTTTTTTAGTATTTTTCCAACTTAAAAGCATTTAATAAGATCAGGAACAAAAATGTACTATATAATCTGGCATATTCATATACTGAATTTTAAAAGAATAATAGAACATGTTTATACAATATAATCATCAATAAGTTTTAAAGTATTTAGTTCTTATTTACAAAGAGAGCAACAGGAAATTATACTTTAAGTAAACCCAACACCATTTAGCTTGGGGCATTTTGTTATAAGGCAAGAGTCAGAAAAGAAACTTTCCATAATATGGTAAAATAAAACTAAAACAAGTGACGTTTTCTGAAATTGGTGTATTCCAGCATATTAAAAATTCACAGAAAGTACTCAACTAACAAAGCTGAGGAAACAATTAGGGGAAGGTGGAGGAAACAATGGGAATCTAAAAGTAATTAAATATATTTTTCTCCAATGGAAACTTTGACTAGGCTTATTTTCCAAGCTGCTACTTTTGGCAGTTTTTGCTTCTTCTGATGCTTCATTTCATCAACTTTATGTCTTTCTGAAAAGACAGACTTGCCAGGACTTAGACAGAGCAGTGTTAGAACATACACTCTACTGGGACCAAGAAACCTGGTTTGAGTCTGGGCTTTGGGACACCACCTCACCGGGCTTCACCATCGCTGCACTGGTTGGCAGTTTTGAAGGGGGCTCACTGGAGACACTGAGCAAATGTAACTTTTGCCTAACCCCCCTATTCCACCAAAACTTATCCTTTTTCATATATCAAGATTCCATGTAATATTTCATTTGGTAAAATAAAGGTGATGCTGTTTTAAAAAAAAAAGTTTAGAAACCTATGGACTAACGAGAGAACTGCTCAAGTCATTTTTTCCTCCAGCATGCTATAGATCTATATTGCCTTGCACTTTTGTTTTAACTTTTTGATTTTGTGCATTTCAGAGTAGAGACCAATTTCTATGTCAAGGTACTGAAAACAGAGGAAACTAATGGAGGTAAAAATTAAGAATCAAAGGAGGTATCATTCAAACTCCTCCCCAACTAAGGGAATTTGTTGTACGTCCCTGAAAGCACCCCCTCCACGTCACATCAGGCTCTCATGCTGCCTTAGGCAAGGCAGGGGCCTGCCATGTCCCTCGTATGTTCAGCTTTCAAGTTGGCATCCAAGTACAGAAACTTGAAGAAGCTTATCCTACAGTATTAGTCTTTTACTCTCTTAAAAGTGGAAATATATTTAGACTTTCAAGATGCTTTTATCCTAGAAAATCAGATAAGAGCATCACATAAGAGTATACTACCTAATTCAAATGCAATTATCTCTTCGGAAAGCTTTATATGAAATTTTTCCTACCGTAGAGTTTTTACTATGTTATTTTTGGGAGTTAAAGAAATCTAGTAATACCTATTAATGTTTTAATAATGCCAAAGTATAACAATCAGTTTACTTTTTGCTTGTTTGTGGGAGGAGGAGAGGAAAGGAGGTGCAGAGTAGAACTGAAAATTAAACAAAAAATGACTTTTCCTTCATTTTTACCACAATAAATGTCTTGATTCCAGATGGGACTGAAAAGTCATCCTCATGAAAGGAAAAGCAATCAAAAGGCCTTACTTTGCAGGGTGAGAGTAACATTTTCATATTTTACAATGTTACTACAACACTAAAGTACACTACTTTTTTGTTTCCTATTGAATTTTTAAAGCACTTTCTAAAATCTGTTATGTGCTTGATATAAACCTCCTTTCAGTTCAAAGGAGTTAGTGACATTTTGCTAATTCACTATTACCTGTAGCCTGAAATTCATCAGTATGATTTCATATCACTTAGGAAGCAAAATCTTTCAAAGATAGGTGGGAGTATTTAAGACTCCCAGGATGAATGGAGGTCACAGAAACTTCGTCCACTGCTCCCGGGGTCACCTGGAGAATGGCCACTGCCCAATGACTCCACAGAGGCGCGCATGCACCGATTCCCACCTCTGCTGAGGAAACCAAGTAGGAAGGTACCACTGGGAACCCAAGCTGGGCTGCTAAAGAGCTCAGAAACATGAGGCAGTCTCCTCCACTTGATCTCTGACTCTGCCTGGCAGAGAAATGTGGGAAAGACACCCAATTCATACCCACCAGGACTTGCCCAGCGTGTCAAGGAATACACAGTCCTGGCTTCCATCTCTCACTGTTTCAAAACACTGGGGTGAGCAGAACACCGACCTGCTGCAGTTACTTCAATATCATTACCGCTGCTCTCTTTAAGGTCAGTCTAACAGCTGGACACCGAGACTAGGCAATATATGTATAGATCCTGGAACAGGAACTATCTCCTTGAGAAGATAGTCTTGGTTGACCTTGATCTTGTTGACCAAGGTTGACCTCTCCTAGAGTCAACCGGTTTAGAGTGGTCAGTGCACACACAAGACATGGGACAGGCTCCAGGGCTAGCGGGAGGGCGTTTTAATACAGAAGCATGCGCTGCTCCAACACCTTTCGGCACTCTGAGAGTCTCAAAATAATGGGGACATTTCTCAGTTAAAACTGGTCAGAACAACATGTGGTTTCCTTCCCTGAAGTGCTCCGAGCATTCACTGCAGCCTGCCATTTTTCCCTGCGTGTCAAGTGACCGGAATGTGCTTATAATAATGTAACTGCCACTCAAGCATCTGGACTGCAGCTGTCTGTCCTGTAAGACACACATGTAGGACTCCATACAGAAATACCTTTTCCTGCCTCTGCTGAGCCCTATTTCTCTTAGTGCCACAGGAACCTTCTCTCCCCCGGTGCTGAGAGCCACTGCCATTCGGCATGGACTAGGAAGAGTCCCTGGTCCCTGGGGAACCATAGGTGGGACGCAAGAGTTGCCTTGGTCCATGTCCCAAGAACTGGTGATGATGTAGAAATGTTTTATTTTCCCCTTGAGATTTAGAAACCAACTAACAGACTATTTCGAAGTCCACTGTTTTTTTTCCCTCCAAAGTACTATTTATAAGAAAAAATCCCAAACTGCTTTTAGAGAAAGGAGGTGGGTTGCTTATATCAAAAGGGGCCGTCTCCCAACTGAGAATTTGTCTGCTCCCCAGGCTGAGCGGGTGAGGCTGATTAAGTGCTGGCTGACCATCTCGACCATCATCCGGTTTAGTCATCCAACAAGAAGAATTGAATATGAAATTCCAGCAATAAGAAATGAACAAAAGATTGGAGCTGAAGTGCTTGCTTTCTGCCCATTGACCAGATAGCTGGAACTATCTGCATCATCTATGCAGCATGGGTTTTTTTTATTATTTTTACCTAATGACGTCTCTTTTTGGTAATGACAAACGTGATTTTAATTTAAAAAAAGGCCTGTATTTCCTCAATACACCTGTTTCATATCTGGTCAAGTTGAGATTTTTAAGAACTTCCTTTTTAATTTGTGAAAAACGTTTACAACTTGATTTTTTTCAAAATGAGTCAACACACTGCAAGTACCTGTTAATAAAGGTCTTAAATAATTGAAAAAAAAAAGAGGAGGGAGGCTGTCTCCTTCTTTCAGGGATAGGACATGTCTAAATCAGTACTTGTACCTATAACAAGAAAATAATATTAAGCCCAGTGGGGATCCTAAGAGCAAATTGATTCTGTGTGGCCTCCAAAGCAAATGAGCCATGAACTCCAATGGTGTGAAGCTCAGAGGGAAACAAGCCAGACCTGACATTAGTGGAACAAAGAAATTCACACCTGCACATGTAGTAACTATTCATTCTAAAGAAGCCCCCTCCCCCCGTACAGATGGGGGCTGCTACTAGTGGCATTTTGAAGAGAGGCGAACATAGTAAGAGGGACACCGAAGACCAAGAACTGTAAGATGGCAAGCCGTGCCGGGGAGGTGGGCACAGCACTAAGGAGCTGAACAAGTTGCACAAGAACCACCGAGGCACAACAGGTGCCTCCCCAGTCTCCTACATAATGAAATGACTGAAGTAGCTAAAAGAGCCCCATCTGAAGCTCCCAGGGTTCCCAGACCACTAAAGGACACTCTTATCTGGTTGCTGCAGACAAGCAACAATGATTTCTGAGGCTCTGTTTATTGTAGCTAATTTTATACACACAATTGAAGGGGAGGTTAAGTGCATGGGCTTTGGATTACGGGAAGTCTGGATTTAAACAGCAGCTTGGCCATTTCTTAACTGTTACTCAAATTCTCTAAGTCTCTAAGTATCCTCATCAGTACGATGGAAAATGTATTCACTCTCCTAGGACAGTTATGAGGATTAAATAAAACAGCAACAACGCACGTAAAGCTCTTAACACAGTGCTCAAACTTCAACTATTACTATTACATTTTGAAAAATCAGACACACTAGTATCACTTACTTGTGGTAATTCTCCTTTTTCTCATCCCTCCAGTTTTTATTTAACTGGTGAATTTTCACAGCTACATATCTTTGTTCTGTTAGATCAAATGCCTATAAAGAAAAGGAATAAATTATATTCTGGATAAATGCTGACAAGAATTACAAGTAACTGACTTGAAGCTTCTATTTAACAGATCAACATACTCAAAGTCCAAAATGCATTATTAAATAAAAACAGCAGTGAAGGACAACACATCACATACTTGTTTCAGAGTAGCAACGGTTTTCTTGAAACTTGTGATCAGAGAATTTAGAAGTCTCCAGATGCACTGGTACCAAGGGGGTTAGAAAATAAGACCAAGCATCCACTACAGCCAGCCAGCCCGGCCTTGTCAGTCACTTCCAGACAATTCTCTTTCTGGACATCGTCTACCCCATGTGGGCCCTTTCCCCCTCAGGTTCTCTCTCTTCCCTCAGCTGATCCTGGGACACGCTTCAACAGTAAGTCCTGCCACTTTTGAAATGCTGGGGACATGTAGTCTGTCTTCCTTCTTGAGAATACACCTCTTTGCTATGTTTGTTTAGAAAATAACCTTGTGATTTGTTACGCTGTGTTTATTAAAACTAAAAACAGAAACAGAACCCCCAAAAAAGCCCTGCCTTTAGTCCCACTCATATATGCTGGGTAAATAAAAAGCAGGATTTTGTTTGTTTGTTTGTTTGTAGCTGAGCCATCCTGCCACCTGTTAGCAGCTCAGCAGCAGCTCAGCTTGGGCCAGGAATTGAACCGCTATTGCTCAGAGCTCGCACTCTTGAGTGAGCTCTTAACCAACTGAACCACTTGGCCGGCCCTTAAAAAGCAGTTTTTGATCCCAACAATGTCTGAAGTTAGTCACACCAAGTCACTTCTCCAGCTCTATCCCAAGACAAGGAACGCTTTCCCCAAAGACCACCATTGTTGGCACATCTGCTAGGTCGTGCTATAACATGGGAGTAACCAAGGTTTTCTTGAGGATGTTGGGTGTAAATCACAATTTGATAAAGTAAGTAGCATTTTACTACAACAGACTATTTCCCCTATTCAAAAAAAAAATTATTGAGGAGCTCCTTTAGAATGAATAATTTTGGTTTTTAAAGTTCAGATTAAAAACTTACTACTGCAGTTCCAACACTGTTACCACCCATCCGCTAGTGTCCACAGGTGTATGAATGGATAAAGGCAACAGGCGCAGGATATACAGTCCATGGATAGTGATAACTGCTCTGCAGATCTTTTAACACGTAAGCTACCTCTAGGAAAGGACTGCGTGCATGCAAGAGGGCTGCTTATAAAAGAAACGTCTAATTTACACCAAGTATAAACCAGTATTTTTAAAACTATAAAAACCTCTCAAAACAGAATATCTCATTTCACAGAAAGGGAAACTTTTATTTTTCTTACAGAGTCTGAAGTCCATTTGTAAGCATGTATACCATCATGGCTTTACAGAAGAGAACCACTTCAAGCCATTAAAAGCCAGGTTAAATACCACCAAATTTGTAAGGATACTAATGATACCACAGTCTTATTTTCTCCAACTCCCACACCATACTTCTGAATCTAAGACACCGCAATCCTCCATTGAGTTAAAAAGGGCTTTTGGCCAGTGGAGAACAGCAAAAAAAGAACTATATTAAATGGATACATCACTGGAAGTAGCATTTAGATTTCAGAAATGTTAAAATGTTTGAAGACTACATAAAGAAAAAATAGGATGAAGAAGTCACTAACAAGTGCCTGGGAAGCACCAATTACCAATTTTGATGATTTAAGAAAAGGAATAGTTCCAGTTCTGGGTATATAGTCAAAAGAATTGAAAGCAGGGTCTCAAAGAGATATTTATTTGCACATGCATGTTCAAAGCAGCATTATTCACAACAGACATGAGGAAGCAACCCAAATGTCCACTGACAGATGAATGGGTAGAGACAATGTAGCACATTCATACAACGGGTTGTTATTCAGTCTTAAAAAGAAGGAAATTCTGTCAGATGCTTCAACATGGGTAAACTTTGAAAACGTTATGCTAAGTGAAATAAGTCAGTCACAAAAGATAAACACTATGATTCCACTTATATGGGGTACCTAAAAATAGTCAAAGTCTTAGTCAAATAGAAACAGAAGGTGGAATTATTGATTAATGGGAAGAATTTCAGTTTTGCAAGATGAATAAGCTCTGGAGACCTGTTTCACAACAATACGAATATACCTAACATACTGAACTGTACGCTTCAAAATGGTTACAATGGTAAATTTCATGTGTTTTTTTTAACACAATTTAAAAAAAATACCAAAAATAAAAAATAAACTAAGCATATGTTTCAAGAATGAAAACAAAGAAAATGGAAGGATTCAAAACAAAAGTTAATAAAATGGAAAACAAATCAAATAGATCTGATCAACAAAATAAAAGTTGATTCTTTGAGGGGGGGAAAAAAAAAAAGCATCCACTAACCTCTAGTCTACCAGTCAAGAAGAAAAGAGAAATAACTAAGATATGGATGATCTTTTAAATCAAGATGAAATAAAATATTTTCCAGAAAAATTAAATTACCAACACTGACTTAAGAAGGGAAAGAAAATCTGAATAGCTCGATATTTGTAGAAGGAATTGAAAAGGTGATCAAGCAGTTTTCCTCTAAAATGACACCTACCCAGGTGATTTTATGAGTTTGCTCTAATAAACTTTCACAGAGCCAACAATTCATATGTAATGCAAAGCATCCCAGGGCACAGGAAAAATTTCACAACTCATTCTAGAATAACTACGACATCGAAGCTAGCCATTGCTACTTACACACAAAAGACGACTATGGCCCAGTCCCACTTAGGAACACAGATAAAAAATATGAATAAAATACCAGAAAATCAAACCCAATAGTACACTAAAGATAGTATCATAGTTCTGGCAATGGTTAGTGATGATAACTGCCCAACACTGGGAATATACTTATGCCACTGAACTTTACACTTAAAAATGGTTAATTAACATAATAAATGTTATGTATATATCACCACAATTTTAAAAATTAAAATAAAAAAGAGGGAAACCAGTAAAACTAGTTTTTACTATTTTTATCTGAAATGAAAACTGATTATTTTACACAAAAGAGTTCTCATATATAAACTCATACGGGCATAAAATAAATCCTAACAGGGAAGGAAGGCTCCACCTTAGAAAAGAGAATGAGCAGGGTCACGCAGCAAAGACCACTTAAAAAACCAATCCGGGCCAGCTGAGTGGCGCGATCGTTAAGAACTGGCTTGGGACGCCAGAGGGCCCCGGTTCAGATCCCACATATGAGGGCCAGTGACACTGCCCTCCACAGCTAAGATGCTGAACAACAGCTCAACCTGGAGCTGGGCTGCCGTGAGTCACCGGCGACGGCATAGGCTGCAGCCCCTGTGGCAGTGGGTTGCCATAGGCTACCGTGTGTAGCCAGCAGCCAGCGTGAGCGGCCATCCAGAAGCCGGCGACTGATCTGCCTCGCCCGGGAAGAGCGCAATGATGGTGCCAACTTGGGCCAGTGAAGCAACGTCCTCCACAACTAGACTGAAGAACAAAATGACAGCAACTTGTCTGTTCCCCTTCCCCCAGTTCCCCAATAAAAATCTTAAAAAAAAAATGAATCCTGCATTTAAAGCCAGGTGCCAGAAACATCTAGAGAAATGTGAGAGGCTGTGGTTGGCGAACATGCTATGGGTCTGTAGCTGTATTTAGAACCGGCTGACGTCCTAGTTTAGTAAAAATCAGCTGGAGGCCCCACAGACTGTCCTTTGCTGGCCCCGCAGAAGTGAAGTGCATCCTGCAAGATGCCAGTGCGATTAAACCCTCTGACTTAAAGATGGGAACATTTTTTTTTTTAAAAAAAAGCAGGTTTTCAAGTAAGATTTACACATGTACTTTCTTAAAAAAATTTTTTATGAGAATAAAAGAAACACATACTCATTTCTAGCAAACGCAAATGAGGCAGAAAGTATAGAACCAGAATAAAAATCACTGTAATTCCACTACCCAGAAATTAGTGGTTTTTCCTTCATATTTTAAAAAATCTATAGTTATTTATTTTTCAGCTTGAAAACAGGGCAAGATATTGTACCCTGCGTAGTCACTGACGTTTATTAAAAGCACTTCTCCCAAACATACAGGTTGTTAAAGTTTTTGAATTTCAACCAATAGATACCAACTCACAGTCACCACTATTCTAAATGCTCTCCAAGTTGGTAATGACCAATAATTTAACTCTCATTTTTGTACCCAGTTCCTCATACTTACCTTGTAAACTTCACTGAAACCTCCTCTACCCAAAAGATGTAACAACAAATATCTGTCATTTAGCGTTGGATGATCTTTAAATCTGTGGAAACAGGGAATATATAACATCCTGAGGTCAAGGACTACACGATCTTCCATATTTGCAAAATTTCAAGAATATTTAACATGTTATACACATGATTATAGCTGCTGCTGATAGGCTGGCAATCAACACCAATATCGCTAATTCTGAGGACAGGGTTGAGTTATACATACAATTCAAAGAGACAGCATAATTACAATGAACAGCACTAGCTGTGGAGCCATGAGAAATAGGTGCCAGTCTCAGCGTAAGCACAATTAGACCTGTGACCTTTGTCGGCCTCCCCTTTCTGCCCAGCTAGAAAATGTGGGGGGGTAAGACTACACGAGACCAGGGATTTTCAAACTGTGCTACTCAGTTCCTCCGAGCCATTCAAGAGCCACGTGCTCCCACCATTACATAACTACATACAATAAAATTCAAAGATATTTTACATGGCCTTGAAAACAGATTTGATTATAAAGTGAGTCACAAGTTCTATGTGCATTCACTTTCTGTAGGACAGAAAGTCTTCATGATATAACTGTTTTCCCCATTGTAGGATACCACCTTGTGCTGCTTTTTAGTAAAACAAAGAAATAAGAGATTCTGATAAAAATAACCTTTAAAATATTTCTACCTAGCTCCTGATCTTAAACAGCCCCACTATTAATCCTGAAATTATTCTGATTTTGAGACAGTGGCATGCCTGTGGGGAGAAACGACGTTAATGTATTGGAAGTAGTTAGCTCAGGGATCAGACAGATCCAAGTTTAACTCTGTTTCTTGGCCCATTAGTTATGGGTGTCTGGTCAAATTCACTGAATTTCTCTAAGCCTGTTTCCAGATCTATGTATCAAAGATGACCTACCTCACTGGGTTATCGTGAAGATTAAATGACGGAACATAAGGGCACTTAGCACTAAGCCTGACACAAAAAGAGTGCATAGTAAGGTAACAGCTGTTGCCAGCCACTTTGCAGAAAGAAAAGTCCATGGCTCACATTGGCCAAATAAAAATACACAAGCTGTATCTAAGTCAAAAACTCATGTTTCAGAGGGAAAAAATAAAAAAGTGAGAAGGAAAGGATTATGCATAGAAGCCACTTCCCACTCGCAGTCTACTTTTCACAGTTTCAATCTCTTAAATGACTTATAAACACAGGTGGGCATTTATCTAAATTAATGTGCTGAACTTAACAGTGTCTTGCCTAAACTCTCAACAGTGGAATGGCCTTTAAAGGTCATTCAGAAACTGGTTGTCATCTCAACCCAATAATCTTTCCACAACACTCCACTGTTACCCGTGCTTCTCTTTAGTAAGACTCTGTAGATAAATCTGAACATACAGGTATCCCAACCATTTACAACTACAAAGCTACATTGTTTCAGTAACCTCTACTTGGGTAAACATGCTGTAAGTATAGATATATACTTAATATATAAATCTAATGTATTTAGACTAAAGCAAATCATAATTTTGTTGGTAAACTGTATTACACCCTACAGTAGAACTAAATACACCATGGAATCAATTTACCACATTTATATTAAACAAAAACATCAGTCTAGACCAATCGATTCATGTCAGAAAGTACTCAGTAATCTCCAACCCAACATACCCCCAAATTGCTTACTGTGAATTATCTTCATTATGTATCCTTTTTAGTTCCCTGATATGTAGATTTCTAACCCTTTCTAGCCTTTCGAGCTCTGCCTGGATCTCTGCTTCCTCCTAAAGCAAAAAGGAAAGAAAAAGCTCAGAACACAAGAAACTTTACCTTTCCAGAATCCCATTTCAAAAACAAGAGCAGACATTCCTCTCGTGAAAAGCTAAAGGATGATGTTTTGCATTGAAAAATATTCTTTTAAGAACTAGAATTTTAGGGGCCGGCCGAGTGGCGCAATGGTTAAGAACTGGCTTGGGACGCCAGAGGGCCCCGATTCGGATCCCACATATGAGGGCCAGTGACACTGCCCTCCACAGCTAAGATGCTGAACAACAGCTCAACCTGGAGGTGGGCTGCCGTGAG